ACGGGTGCACTTTTATTCCGACAAGTGTGCATAGCATCAACACCGTGAAAACTTAAAAGGAAAATAACAAAGGCAGTTTAGCTTGATACAAATAATCCTTTGACAAATGCACATATGCTAGAAAGCTAGCATCAGATAGATAACAGCAAAGCAGGCAACAATCATCACAAAATGAATCTCATTTCCATTTACATAAACATATTAAATGAATTAGTATGCAAATGCACATTACAATGAACCACATACCTCGCTCCGCATATCAAAGGGTGCTAATAGTGATCCAGGGGGGTTTCTGCCACCATTTAACTTAAACTTGGACAAACTTCGTGAATTAGCTTTACTGCCAAACAAAGGAATAACACTTAACATTTTATTTTAAGATTACATTAATATTTTTCGACCTCAGACATGCATTGTCTCATATCATACCTTCCCGCGTTTACACCGTTCATGAGTGAGCGCGTGAGTGTGCGAACACAGAGAAAATATAGTCCCCCCTACAGATAGCATGTCAAAATAAAAGTCTCATAAAATAGAATATAAAAAACAGGATAATCATAATAAAACACTGATACTGGCCAACTACATATGTTATTATTGTACTGTACAATTAAATACAATTGTTGCTGAGTCTGCAGTCTGAAAACTTTACCTCAGAACATCCGTTAACTGAATGAATTGAGAATCTCACATGAAAACCCAATAACATCAGCAAATGTCATTCAAGCAGCTGATATCTGTAAATGAATGCAAAACTAAATGTATATTACAGCATAGGGAGAAGTCAGGATACAATAGCAACAATTTGAGACAAAAATAATGAAAATTTTATATAAAACTATGTAAATGGTGCTCTGTGGCGCAGCAGGATTTTGAACACGGTCCAGAGCCGTTGCTGGGCGCCGCGGACAGACGCCGAATGGCGCCGCCGGTGTGTGTACACTCAATAGAGAATAACGTGTTTGAATTTTAAAGATGTGGCGCTGTGCGACGCGGTGCTGAGCTTCTCGTCCAGTGTGCGATCCCCTTTACTTATTTGAAACAAATTTAATCTTTTTTCTTTCCCATTTTAGCATTGATGCCTCAAAAGAGTTTTATTTTTGTAAACCACATTTAATCTCGTTTTTATTCGTCAACGATATTGCATTATACATTTAGTTATAGTCATCGTCACACGACCAGCATTTACGTTGTCTCGTCTCATGACAAAGGTTCGTTGACGATGATATTTAGTCATAATTTTCGTTGACGAAAGCAACACTAGTGTGTATTGTATTTGTATTGTATTGTATTGTATTGTACTCACTCAAGCACTTCAAGCCTGGCTGGATGGCTGCGACCAATTACCCGAATTGGTTGAGGCGGCAACGCAAAGGATACTCCAAGGATGCGTCCATGGAGGGGAGAACACCTGCCCCAGAACACCTGTGCCCTCAGGAAGGAGGAAAGCCCGACCACGGTATCGGAGCAGGCACCGTGAAAGATATCTCGCCCATAAACGTGCCTACCACAAAGTCCAATACCAGTTCAAACACGACCCGGCCCGCCTAGCGGCTGAAATTCTCGATGGGAGACAGGACACACGTTGTCCTATTTCAGCCAAAGTCATTCATGAGTTCTTTCTGGCAAAATGGGGGGACCCTCCCCCCTTTCGTGGGCTGGGTCGATTCAGGGCTGAGGAGTATGCTGACAACACTCCTCTCATGGGGCTACTCTCCCAAGGCGAGATCCAATCTAGCCTTCGTCAGGCCTTGAACGACTCCGCACCGGGCCCAGACGGGATTGGGAAACGGGATATTCTCAATTGGGATCCCAGATGCGAGGCCCTCACCAGGCTGTTCAACATGTGGTGGATTACGGGAGTCGTTCCTTCCCGTCTGAAGAAAAGTCGAACGGTACTAATAACCAAGACATCTGATCCAGGAGCGGTGATGGAGGTGGGCAACTGGAGGCCTATCACCATCGGGTCTATGATCTTGAGGCTCTTCACTAGGGTGTTAACACAGCGGCTAACTGATTCATGCCCAGTTCACCCTAGGCAGAGGGGATTTCGTGCTGCCCCCGGGTGTGCGGAAAATATTGAGGTTCTGCGAGGCCTCATCCGACACTGCAAAGAAGAGCGCAACCCACTCGCAGTAGTATTCATCGACTTTGCACAGGCGTTCGACTCCGTTTCCCATGAGCATATCCTGTCAGCTCTTGGGCAAATTAAAATGGATCCCCACATGGTAGGTCTGATCCAGCAGATCTATACGGACAGTCCTACCTGTGTCGAGATCGGGGGTAGGAATACCCCCGACATCAAAGTGAGGGTTGGTGTTAAGCAAGGAGACCCATTGTCTCCCTTGCTTTTCAACCTTGCCTTGGATCCACTGATCCAAGGCCTTGAACGCAATGGCCGTGGCTACATTATGGAAGGGGGTCAAACAGTAGTGTGCCTTGCATTTGCTGATGACCTTGTGCTGGTAGGAGGATCTTGGAAGGATATGGCGTACAATTTACATCTGCTCGACCCGTTCTGCCAGAGTACCGGGCTCAGGACTCAACCAAGAAAATGCAAAAGTTTCTACGTGAAACCTGGGGCTGGATCATTTACAGTCAACGACTTCCCTCCATGGGTACTGGGGGGGGGGGGGGGGGCGATCTTACAAACCAGCATCAGCGAGGCTGTTAAGTACCTGGGCGTGAAGGTTAACCCCTGGGGAGGGGTGGTTGAGCCTGAGTTGACAGGTGCTCTGAAGGGATGGGTCAAGAGCATCGGGAAATCCCTCCTTAAACCCTCGCAGAGGGTGGTTCTCCTTAACCAGTATGCCCTTCCTCGCCTTTACTATCAAGCCGACCTGGGGGAGGTTGGTGATAATGTGCTGCGAGCCGCGGACGGAATAATCAGGGGGGCGGTCAAAGAGTGGTTGCACCTTGCTCCGTCCACCACTGATGGGCTATTGTAAGCGAAAAACCGGGATGGTGGCCTGGGGATTTGCAAGCTCACTCGGCACATTCCGTCCATGCAAGCAAGAAGGCTTCACCGCCTTTCTTGCTCTGTAGATCCGGTTACCAGGGCATTGATGCTGACTCCATACATGCGGTCCAAGTTCGAAAGGGCGCGGATGAGGGCCGGTGGCACTAATGAGAACTTCCCACTGGCTAGTGAGGAAGTATTGAACGATAGAGTAGACGCCACCGGCCTGCTGACCCACACGTGTGTTTCTCCATTCGATTGGAGACGTGACGAATTCCTGAAGTGGGCAGGTCTCCCTACCCAGGGAGTGGGTATACTCGGCTTTAGGGAAGCGGTTGCCAGCAACTCGTGGCTGAGGAAGCCCGCATGTATGACCGAAAGGCAGTACATTACGGCTCTTCAGCTACGTGCCGGGGTGTATCCCACTCGAGAGTTTCGGTGTCGGGGTAGAAGCAAGACTGAGGCAACTTGCAGGAGATGTCCACATAGGTTGGAGTCATGTTCACACATACTAGGGCAATGCCCGACCATGAGCGTGGCCAGGATTACCCGGCACCACAAGTTGTGCCGTCTCCTCGGGGCTGAGGCGGAGTCCCTCGGGTGGGAGGCACTCCAGGAATGGGAGTTCAGAACCTGTAACGTGGTTGTGAGACGACTTGACCTGGTACTCATCCGTGGGGATTGCGCCCTGGTCATTGACGTAACGGTCCGATATGAGTTGGCTCCTGACACTCTCACGGTGGCAGGGCTGCAAAAAGAGGACTATTACGGGCCCTATAAGAATGTGATCGCATCGAAATTGGGTGTTAAGCATGTACAGATCTTCGGGTTCCCCTTGGGCGTGAGAGGCCTATGGCACAAAGGCAATACCAAACTGCTTGAAACCATAGGCATGGGGAAGCGGAGGATGAAATCCTTTGCGAAGTTGATGAGCCGGAGGTGCCTCCTCTACTCGTTGGAAATTCTGCGGAGGTTCTCCTCCACCCGAAGGAAGTAGGTATCGAGGGCGTGATTCCCGTTGTGCATGCCTGCTGTGATGTACAGGCCTGAATGGGGTAATGTGCCAAGCTGGTCCCGTGAAGGGTTAACAGTGTCAACATGCCTGAATAGGTTTTGTCACACGGCAGTGTACAGAATAACGGTATGGACAGAAATGGGGGGCTGGTGTGGATCCTCGTGGGGTCGGTGAGAGGAGGTTGCATCTCTGACTACCGGCTCGGCGGGGACCTGCTCGGCCCCCTATAGACAAGCAGAAGGCGAGTGCTCGGGGTGTTGGGGTCGCGGCTCCTGTGAAGGCGATGGGTATGAGGAGCCCATTGTACAGAAGGGGGCTGCGGTTCTGACCTCGAGCACTCAAGGGCGGTTGAACGATGACAGCCTCGATACTGACGGGAGCGGACAAGCCCGGTTGCCAAAGGGGTGCCATAGTAGTAGCAAGCGTAATGTCTCGAAAGGACCCAGCCTGAGGGCAAAGACACAGGACCCAACGCCAATGAATGGGCTGATCGCATCAGCTCACATCTGGTAATGGGTTACCTGTAGGGTCAGGGGAAGGGGAAGGAACCGGACGTACCGGAAGGGCAGAACCCGAGTTCATTACCTATCACTTGTATGATGACTCCCCCGTTGTCATTTGCAGGTTGGGTAGGCAATCTGAAGTGCTAATGCCCTCTCCCTAGGTACAAAACCGAAAGATGGGCATTCTGTCTAGAAGCAGGCATGCTTCTCCACCAACTCATGGGCGGTAATGGGACGGGCATCTCCAATATGGCCGAACTCCTAGCGAAGGGACATGCCAATGGCAGGAAGACCTCCCCAGTACGGGGCAGAAGCATTTCGCCCAGGGAGCGAGGAATGTTGCGAGGAAGAAGTCTCATGACCAACCTACTCACCCGAAAGATGGATATGAGTCCCTATCTAATGGCACCCTGATGGCAAAGAAGCACGGGGTGGGGGGGGGGGGCAGAACTTGACCCTCACTAATTATCTCTCTCTTTGTGTTCTGTTACAGGTGCTGGTGCAGATGCGGGAGAGGGGGAGCAACGGTTGCGGACAAGGCCGGTGCCGGTTGGCAGGATAGGGACGGAAACGGGACTCGATATGATTAAACATAATGCTGCCCACTGGAACAATGCGGATGCACTAGTGACACTAATTCGCAGCATGATTGGCCTTCATGTCTACTGGGTGACGTGAGTATACTACCTTCCAAAGTTAGCCGGTTTTGTCGTCAAGTGCGCTGGTCGTTCGACCGAATTACCAGCGTGCAGGTAGTATGGGTGACGGGCATCCTTAACAATCCGGAAAGGTGAGACCCCTTGTATCGTACCAGGCGACGATACATGCTCAATGGCGTCTCGCCGTGTCGCTAGCCAAATGCCTCGTCATCTAATTAGTGACGCGCATGAATGGATGAACGAGATTCCCACTGTCCCTACCTGCTATCTAGCGAAACCACAGCCAAGGGAACGGGCTTGGCAGAATCAGCGGGGAAAGAAGACCCTGTTGAGATTTACCCCAAAATGTTCGTGAAGCTGAAGAAAGCTGGAGGTATGATATTGTCATTCCATGTCGTATTTTCTTGTTTTAATACCCATAATTTTGCAGAAAACATTTGCTCAATAACCTTTCTGTTATTGTTACACAGGTGGAGTGTTGCATATGGGCTGCACCCATGGTGTTGTATACCATAACAGGGAAATAAAAATATTAACACAACTTTTCAACATTAGGACAAAATCTCACATCTCTATTCTGTCGAGAAGAGAGACTCCACTGTCATCGCAAAAATCTCTCACTACACCTCATTGGAACTACGTGACCTGAAAAGCGTTTGCCCACCTGATCTCTTGAAAGACACCGGTATTTTGATGCCATGGCTAACTGATAATGTGAGTACCAATTATTTTGACAAATATTTGTTTAATATTCTTGATAATATTTTTAGTGAACTTCTTATCTAAAATGTAATGTTTAACTTTTAAGACATGTACAGTAGATATTGAAACTCACATCATAATTTTCCTCAAATTTATTTTCGTATTGCGCTTTAAAGGCAGTAAATTGTAGGGTTGCACAAATTGCAGCAGAGACCCAGAATGTAAGTAATCACTTGAGAACATAAACTTTTTTTCACACTACTATTCAGAAACGTAATTAAGTATTCCTATTGTGCGATTTATTCAACATACAGGTTATGTGACAGATGTAGCGCACTTCCTTTATACAATATACATGTAATTTTGTTCTCTCTTTAGTGTATAGCCTTGACGACTGACACATTCATTTTGTGGCATAGAGACTGGCTTGCTTCAAAAACAGTTTCAGATTCTCATTTGAAAATTCTTGAGGTACTGTACAATTTGCAAAATAAATATATATTAAGCTCTCCTGCATGTTTATACATGTAATGGCACAGTATGTGTTTCCTATTTCTTTCATTACAGTATGATGCACAGAAAATTCTGTTTCCAAGAATTGTTGGTGGCCAGACACCAGAGAGAGGATGCCACTTCATTCTTTGGGTTAGTTCAAATCGAGGAGTGTTAATCACATGATGTAGAAATTTGATAATAAAGAGACTGTACAGTGAAGTTAAAATTTTGTAAATAAGTAAATTTATCATCCGTAAGCATTGTAAATTTGACCCTTTTTTTATTTCTTCTACAGTCTTTTTTGTTCTTGCATATGCTGCTAGTCCTGTTGCTAACGTTAGCACGTGTTAGCTAAAACACATGCCGTTTTGCCTTTGTTAGGACACACTGGGGTTAAGCAATGTTGCTAGTAACGTTACATGTAGAAATGTAATAATTAGCTACTTACAGTAGTTAGCCAAAGCTTTACATCTAGATAGACTAAGTATAACTTGTATAATAATATACTATATTGTGTATACCCAGACAACAAATTAGATCGTGCCGACGTTGGGGCGCGCGTGGCTGCCCGACATAAAGTGCCTCGGTAAGATGTCTTATGGAGATCGGTAGCTAATCGGCAAGACATTGGGAAGACGGTGGTTTTAGAACGATCGCCGACCGCGAGCCAACGTATACCCGACATGATCGCCGACCGTGAGCCAACGTATACCCGATATAATTATTATGACCTATTCAGCGCGATCCCACTAGAGCAGGGAAAACATTCAGACGCCTGCCTCGCTCCCTTTGACTTAATACTGGAACAGCTGATTTTCGTCTGCATCACTGGAAAGGGCACAGCATGCTTGAAAATCAGCTGTTCCGGTGTTAAGTCAAAGGTAACGAGGCTTCTGAATGTTTTTCGCCGCTCTAGTAGGATCCCACCGTTATGTCTAATTATTGATTTGTTTAGGCTAACTGCTGTCAGATTGTTCCAAGGACACAGGTTGCCTATTGTCTATCAACAATCAATAACAATATGATTTGTTAATCGTAACATTTCTTCCCTAACAATTTTGACAATTGCAATTAAATTGAAATGAAATTGAAGTGAAAGTTAAATTGAAAGTTAGTGATTGTTTGTGTAGGGTGTAGCCTATTTCAAACACAGTCTGACTACCTGGGAAATGTCAGTCTAACATAAAAAATGAATGGATCAGTGATATTAAAATTAAGTTTGATGGTCATGCAAATTAAGCTAGGAGTTTTCCAGGATAAATAATAAAAATGAGAGCACCGGAAGATGACCTTGAACATTTATTTTTTACTTTTGTTTTTGCAAAAGCAGTATCATTTATTTTAACACTCATCAAATCACACATAGAAAAGTACAACAACAACAAAAAGAAATTCCCTCCAAAATAGGTAAACAGGAAAAATCAGTCCAATCAATTATTTCACTTTAAGATGCTCGCCCTCTTGCTTCCTGTCCCTCCTCAGCCGCAGCCAGTTTCTCGCAGTCATCTCTACATCTGCCTCAGTGGAATTTTGTTGGGTAGGATTTCTTAACACAGCACCTAAACGAAACAAAATAAAAAATAAATAAAGCAAATTTATACTTTTACTAATTTAGTCTGATGTTCTGAGTAAGAAGTGCAGTAGCATACATTACATATAAAATATCGTACCATTGTTAGTCCTCTGAAGGATCCCTGGAAAAGGCTGCAAAGCACACAGGCCGTCATTATTATCCGGCGGCGTCACTAGAAAATAGAGAAAAACCAAATTATTGGAGTGAACAGTAAGTCAAGTTTATCACAATTATATAAACTAATGTCAGTGAGCTGAGTAATTGCCACACATTTCTATCAGCAGCAACTCATCTTAACCCATGTCAAAATAACAGAGCTAACCCAGTGTCACTCCACATCAGTGGTTCTCAAACTTTTTCTGTCATTCCCCACTTTGCATAGAACTGTGCTGTGCTCTATATGTGTTTGTGTGTGTGTTTGCGAGTGTGTGTCAGTGTGTTCTTTGTCTGCGTCTTAAATAGCTTACAGTCAGGAAAGCCTTCAGTCTATGGAAGCACATGGGTAGCAATATTCAATTTGAATGAAAATTAATTTCATGATTTAATTTGAATAATTTCATCGCAAGCGTCTTGACTGTGAGTGTAAACGCAATTAAGAAAAGTAACATTTGAATGATCATTAAATTTGCCACAGTTTTTGCTTGAACATGTTACACATATCTAATCATTTCTGTAATGCATTTTCATTTTAATTTTGACACTTATAAAGCATTTCAATATGCATATTAAAACTAGTGTATGAAATGGCAAATGTAAATTATGTAATTTCATTTTCATTTTGCAACAAACGTTGCTAGAATGTAAAATATAAATTTAAATACACAATGCAATGCCATTTTACATATTGCATTGTCATTTTGCATATTACATTTCAAATTGAATATTGCTACCCATGTGCTTCCATATCAGTCCTCCAGTCCTCCTTCTTGAATATTAACTGCGGCCTCTTGGAAAGACAGAAAACCTTGGCTAACTTATCACACTACCAATATAAACTCCAAAATCATATCTGGAACACCAAACTATGGTATGCGCTGTGGACCTGTGCAGTACACTGTGTCTACTTGAGTTTAGGGACCTGATGCAGTTTACTACAGAGGGGACACTTACCTTTACTATACGATGATGTGGGATGGGCTGGAGGAGATTTGTCGTGCGTTTTCTTCTTCTTTGCCTGTGTTGTTTGTGGTGCATTTACTGTAGGGTGTCTGATGAAGGGCACGATTTAGGGTGTCTGATGCAGGGGATGGTGGTGGTGATGGTGATCTAAGTTGCAATGGTCTGTAAATGAAACGTTTTTACAAAGATTAGTTATCATATTGATCACATCGAACAGAGAGAAATATGACATGGGTGACATACTCTGTGTGATACAAAGAGGATGATCAAAAAGTCAAAAAACATATGAAGCTCACTGAAATTGGAAAACATTTTAAATATACAAAATAAATGAACAAAACAACCAAAAAACAATAAAAGCAATGTCCCGGTTAACAGAAAATGCACTTGAATAAATAGCCAAAATACAAATAAAATGGTTGTAAACAAAACCCGACCATACCCTAAATTATTTGTTATTAAAACATTAACACACAAACCACTGTTAATTTAACATAAAGCAAGCAGCTACTGCGTGCATTGTCTGGCATGACTGAATGGGCTCCCTTAATAATTCCAAAAAAGCTGACAGTTCATCATGATCTCACACATCTCTGTTATTACCAATGAAGCTGACTGCACAATGAATCTCATATAATATCTAGGCTACACTTTGTTTGTTATAATTAGAGGATTTGCCAGCATACAGAATTCATCACTGAATAAAAAAAGTCTGTTTTGAGCAGTGAGGGAAGTATATCTTAAATGCTTCTAATTGGCGTTCAAGAAATCAACATGTGATTGGCTACATCGCTCAATAATGCAAACATGTTATAAATAGAAACTCTAGCCTGTAAATCGTTACTAGTTTGTTTTAGTTGTTCTTGCAGATGACTAAAAATCTATTAGTTTTTATATGTTTTATAAATAAATATTTCTAGTTTGCGGGAGTACCGCAAATCGGTTTATTCTCCCGCAACCCGCACACACAGAGTGAGTGCATTACCGCTTGCACTCGGCCATCGAATCTAGTGCAGCGCCGCACTCTATTGCGTTGGGAGTGCACGTCTCTAGATCTAAGGCCCGACCCGAGGATAGTGTCAGCCCAGGTCGGGTCAAGTCCTTGCTCGGGCAGAGAATCTAAGCTCTAGTTCACGCTAGGGGTGCAACGGTACAGATAGCCCACGGTACGGTCCGTACCTCGGTTTTTGGGCCACGGTCTCGGTTCGGTTTCGGTACATGTTTTGTGCAGAAAGAGACTGCTATTTCATCCCAAAAATATGTTTTATTTTTCTTATGAGCATAAACAGAATGTCACAGTAATAACATCAATGTGTATGGAATAAATTAACACTCTAGTCTGTACTGAACCTCTTCAACTACCACTTATGAAATACAAAATGTAAACGAGGAAACTTTAAAATATTCAAGTGGATCCCAAATCCAAACCTTGATAACTGGTAAATGAAGTGATCAATGTGAAAGAAAAAGTGCACTTTTACCTTTAACATAACTTAGCTTGTGGTTTGAATAAAAAGAGCAGAGCAAAATAATATAATTTAAAAAAATACTGCATTCAGGATACAAAGTGCAATGTTATTTACTCATCCACTTTTGAGAGATTCTTGTGCAAAAATATACTGCAGTCAAACGTTTGACTGGGTTTGCGTTATGCATCTGTGCTGGGAATGTAGAGAGTAGGCTACGTGGAGCCGAGGTGAGGCGTTTATTTAGTAAGCGTGAGCGCGCTGGGGCGGGCACGTAACTTACATTCGCAGCCTATGAGTATTCAATGTGCGGCGGCTCGCTAACAACAGTGGGTTGTTTTGAATGAGATGACCCGTGTGAACGGGGAGCGCTTTATGAACGTCTATGACGCGCGAGCAGCGCCGTCTGTTCGTGTGTCTGTTAGAGTGAGCGCTCGTGAGCGACACACACATTACCTGATTTATACGTGGTTGAACTGGCCGTGTGACAAACAAAGCGGGCATAAGCTGGACACGAGCGCGAGTTCGCGGGCGAATTTAATAATGCGGAGCGTTGTTAACTAATTGATCCATAGCTATATAGTAAGGCGCTCCCGAATATAAGGCACACTGTCGTCTTTTGAGAAGATTAAAGTGCGCCTTTTATAGTGCGGAAAATACGGTAAAAGGATCAGCACGAACTCTGGCAGTCTTGGCAGAACCGAAGTCCCGCGGGACACGAGGTTAGATTGTCCCGTGCAGGGCTGACCGAACGGTCCGGGATTTTACCGTGTACCGTTGCATCCCTAGTTCACGCTAAGGAACCGAGAGTTTGTCATCCAGTCTCTTTGGTATAGAGAGACAGAGAGAGACGACGAGGAAAACAAACAAGCATGCAAATGTAAATTATCGTGTCCAGAAAAATTTGAGTTTGCCATGCCTCTATCATATTTGCTGAGTGACAAAAAATACCTTTTATTGACAGTGATAGACAGTTGACAAATATCTATACCAACATAAACATAAAATTTGCAACGTTACAGCACTCAGCATTAACCTGATGTTGACAATGGAGTTCTCCTGTAGCCTTATTTAGGTCAAAGATAAATATTTCCACTACATTACTGCCCTGGCCTACCTGTAAACCATTCCTTTGCTACTAGTCAACTCGCTCCACTATAAGGTATAGGCTTTCCTGATGCAAAATTAATAGTACAGACAGTAAAGGCAGAGACAGGTAAAGGTCACATTTTTTAGGATCTTAGGATGCCAATAATCAAGACAAGCAAACAGGGGAAAGTTATTACATACGTGTGTATCAATATGTGAAGACCCTAGAGATGTCCCCTACTCGTCTCAATCCAGATGGATGTGGTGCTGGTCCACTGGGAAGACCATACTGTAGTTCCAGCCGTCGTGTGTGCTGACGCGGCAAGTACACTGCAGCCGTAATGCCGGACAGAAGGGGAGTCACACCAACATATGGAAAGAAGTGTAAATGGATGGAGAAGCATAGTTTACTATAAAGCTACGTCTTAGTTTGTGCTAATCTGGGCGAAAGCCGAGTACAAATCTGCATGAAGTTTTAACATCTACTCTCGTGTAATGGAAAACATGTGCAAAATAACTTTTAACTAGATTAGTTAAAGATGTTTCAGTTGTCTTTGAGGTCAATTAAAACACATACTTACTGTACAAAGGCAAACCCAGCTAACAGGGAACGTTCTTAGAACTTTGGCTAACATTCCCTAGAGGTTTGGTTAATGTTTTAAATAAAATATTTGAATGCAATGTTTTAAGAATGTTTTAAGGATGTTTTCTCATTTCAAATAATGTTCCTATAAGGTTAAATGTAAACTAAGATATAACATTTTCACTGTAACATTTTGAGGATGTTTTGGGAATGTTGCTGAGATAACAGATTAAACAATGTTCTCAATAAAACATTAGCACAATATCTCATAATAACAGAGGAGGAACATTATCAAATCAACGTTCGCAAAATGTTTTGAGGATATTATTTAGTCCTGAGATGATGGAATGTTTTTATAAAACGTTCTTGTAATGTGACTTGTTAACAAAACTAGAACATTGTCACTGTAACATGTTGAGGATGTTTTGGGAATGTTGTTGAGATAACAGATATAGAATGTTATCAATAAAACATTGGTACAATGTCCCATAAAAACAAAGGAGGAACATTATCAAATCAACGCTCGCAAAATGTTATGAGGATATCATTGAGGCCTGAGTTGATGGAATGTTTTTTATAAAACATTCTTGTAATGCGACATGTTAAGAAAACTAGAACGTTTTAAATTTAACATTTTGAGGATGTTAATGAGGTAAAGGTTTGTAGAATGATTTCTTATAAAACATTGAAACAATGTTCCATAATAACAGAGGAGGAACATTATCAGGTTAACGTTCGCAAAATGTTTTGAGGATATTATTTAGTCCTGAGATGACGGAATGTTTTTTATAAAATGTTCTTGTAATGTGACGTGTTAACAAAACTAGAAAATTTTTACTGTAACATGTTGAGGATGTTTTCGGAATGTTGTTGAGATGACAGATATTACAATGTTCTCAATAAAACATTGGTACAATGTCCCATAAAAACATAGGAATAACATTATCAAATCAACTTTCGCAAAATGTTATGAGGATATCATTGAGGCCTGAGTTGATGGAATGTTTTTTATAAAACGTTCTTGTAATGTGACGTGTTTAACAAAACTAGAACATTTTAAATTTAACATTTTGAGGATGTTAATGAGGTAAAGGTTTGTAGAATGATCTTTTATAAAACATTGAAACAATGTCCCATAATAACAGAGGAGGAACATAATCAAATTAACGTTCGCAAAATGTTTTGAGGATATTATTTAGTCCTGAGATGATGGAATGTTTTTTATAAAATGTTCTTGTAATGTGACTTGTTAACAAAACTAGAACATTTTCACTGTAACATGTTGAGGATGTTTTGGGAATGTTGTTGAGATAACAGACATTACAATGTTCTCAATAAAACATTGGTACAATGTCCCATAAAAACATAGGAATAACATTATCAAATCAACTTTCGCAAAATGTTATGAGGATATCATTGAGGCCTGAGTTGATGGAATGTTTTTTTATAAAATGTTCTGTGACGTGTTTAACAAAACTAGAACGTTTTAAATTTAACATTTTAAGGATGTTGATGAGGTAAAGGTTTGTAGAATGATCTTTTATAAAACATTGAAACAATGTCCCATAAAAACATAGGAATAACATTATCAAATCAACGTTCGTAAAATGTTTTGAGGATATTATTTAGTCCTGAGATGATGGAATGTTTTTATAAAATGTTCTTGTAATGTGACGTGTTAACAAAACTAGAACATTTTCACTGTAACATGTTGAGGATGTTTTCGGAATGTTGTTGAGATAACAGATATTACAATGTTCTCAATAAAACATTGGTACAATGTCCCATAAAAACGGAGGAGGAACATTATCAAATCAGCGTTCGCAAAATGTTATGAGGATATCATTGAGGCCTGAGTTGATGGAATGTTTTTTTTAATAAAATGTTTGTAATGTGACGTGTTTAAACATTAACACTGTAACATGTTAAGGATGTTTTGGGAATGTTGTTGAGATAACAGATATTACAATGTTCTCAATAAAACACTGAAACAATGTTCCATAATAACAGAGGAGGAACATTATCAAATCAACGTTCGAAAAATGTTTTGAGGATATCATTGAGGCCTGAGATGATGGAATGTTTTTATAAAACGTTCTTGTAATGTGACGTGTTAACAAAACTAGAATGTTTTAAATGTAACATTTTGAGGATGTTGATGAGGTAAAAGTTTATAGAATGATCTTTCATAAAATATTGAATGTAGGCCTACCATAATAACAGAGGAAGAACATAATCAAATTAACGTTCGCAAAATGTTTTGAGGATATTATTTAGTCCTGAGATGATAAAATGTTTTTAATAAAACATTCCTTTAAATTGACTTTTTAACAAACATTTTGCATGATACATTTTGAGGATTTTTTGTCGAAATGTTGTTATCTTTTATAAATCATTGGCACAATAACAACATTATCAAAGCAACATTCATCAAATGTTTTGTGGACATTTACCTGAGATGACAAAATCTCATAATATATGTTAACAAAAGCTCATAAAATTGTAAGGATATTTTAAGGAAGCTGTTTAGGTAACAGATTTTAGAATTATTTTAACCTATAGAATAATGGCATAATTTTCCATAATGAAAGAGGAACATTGTCAAAACAGCATACATAAAGTGTTTTGAGGATATATTAGGCTACTCTGAAATGAACTGTTGCGACAAATGCGTTTACAAGAGATGAGAAGCTGATTGGAGGTCGCTGTAGATCGACGTTTAAAACCACCAATCACAGCGCGATGTTCCCATGACGTAAGAACATTTGAACTCGACAAACAGCGCAAATAAAGCAACGTTTCTGTTGAAGAAATCGGCGCAGAATGTCCGTTGTCTAAATTGGCGACACATTGGCCCAAAACAACAGAACTCCTGGTCAACGGAACTCTTTCACAACTGTAAGTTTTTGTGTGTATTTTTTCGGTTTACATAGCTTTCTTTTATCCTTGATGTTTTTCAGTATTAGACCTAACTTTCTACTTTCTTAGAATTGTATGACAGTCGCAATAAATCTGAGTGTATGCTACTTTTGAATAACAGCTAGATTTGTTTTAATGCAGACTCCAAACGGACTGTTTCAAGATGATTAACTTACCGATGACACAATAAAGTCTCCATTTACAACCAAGGTAGCCTACTATAATGCCGGTATTGTGTTCTATGCATACGAATACTGTATTTTTACTTAAAAGTGATCTTAATGTCTTTTGAAAGTAAAAGTTAATAATAATTCAGTAATTCATATAACGTTAGAGGTTAACGTTAATGAATTGGAAAGAGCGTTTCTCAAGGCTTCAGGTGTATATAACATTCTTCTTTCAGATGAATACTATCTGAGTTATATTTAAAAAAATGTCCTGACTCTTCTGACTTTTAGAATGGCAGTGAATGGCCGTCTATCAAGGCGCATCCATCCATGATAAAAGTAATCCACCACATGACTCTGGCGGGGTTATAAAGCCCTTTTAAAGCGAAGCATTTGTGTAAGAAAAATATCCATTTTTAAAACTTTATTGTATTAAGATATTGGATACATGGATTAAGTATGTTTTAAATTACAGAAACAAAAAAGATACTCATAATTTATCATATTTATACTTTCAATAAATTAGTCTTTACATAATTTCTGACTGCTAATTAGGCTGGCTAATTTTGAAAGTTTTCAACGCAATATTGCTTGTGATCTTAATGTATGTGTATTCTTTATGTTTACACTTTTGCATGATCTTCTTTTTTAGGCTATGAGGAAAAACTCTACCGTGCACACAGAGAACAGAGCTCAATGCTGCTAACTGGGGGAGCAGCTGGACAACTAGAAGAGAGAACAGTAGAACACTATTAATACAGATTCCTGGATTATTCTTCTGCAAGAACCAAAACAAGCAAAGACTGATGATGAGTGCTCTGAGCAAACACCGGAGTCAAGACGCATGAGTGACTTTACTGAGTTCTTCATGTAATGTTGGGCATTTACTGTACGCAGAACTTCTAATAATTTATGTGGATGCCATTTAAACCTGTTAGATTTTGATGTTTTAGTTTTGAGATTAATAAAATGTTATGCTTTAACAATGTTATAGCTAATCATTTTTGAGGGGTTTTAAGAGAACATTTTGGGAACAAAAATAAACTTCCGCTAAAAACTTTATAAGAAAGTTAGGGGATAATGTTTTTAAAATGTTATGATTAAACCTTTATAGAAGGTCATCACAAAACATTTTCAGAGTGTTCTTAGCGAATGTTATGCCATCTTTTAAGAGAACATTCTGGGAACAAAAAGAAAACTACCCGCTGAAAATGATATAAGAACGTCAGGGAATAATTTTCTAACAATGTTAGCATTTAACATATTTAGAATGTTTTTAGACAATGTTATTAGAACTTTTAAGAGAACATTCTGGGAACAAAAAGAAAACTACCTGCTGAAAGTGTTATAAAAACATTAGGGAATAATGTTCTAACAATGTTAGCAATAAACATATTTAAAATGTTTTTAGACAATGTTATTAGAACTTTTAAGAGAACATTCTGGGAACAAAAAGAAAACTACCCGCTGAAAATGTTATAAAAACATTAGGGAATAATGTTCTAACAATGTTAGCAATAAACATATTTAAAATGTTTTTAGACAATGTTATTAGAACTTTTAAGAGAACATTTTAGGAACAAAAAGAAAACTACCCGCTGAAAATGTTATAAGAACGTCAGGAAATAATGTTCTAACAATGTTAGCATTTAACATATTTAGAATGTTTTTAGAGAATGTTATTAGAACTTTTAAGAGAACATTTTAGGAACCAAAAGAAAACTACCCGCTGAAAACATTATTAGAACACTGCATGGTAATGTTCTCAGAACATTTTTAGAACAAAAAAATCCTAGCTGGGAAGACGCTGTGCAAAATGGGCCTGGGCTCTGAAAAGAGCCTTTGGGGTGTATGTAGCTCCTGTTGAGAAAAAGAAGAAACATGAAAAGGAGTGACATGAAAACATGAAAAAATGGCAATTCAGAACTGTAGGATGACTTCTAGATCAATCACTTACAAAAATCACTCACTGAAAAAACAGAAAAGACCACTATTTTGTTTAACTAACAAAGGTTAAGGTTCTATTTTTATGAATAGCTGTGTGTCTTCACTTACTATCACTTTACTATAACCACTTCTTTGTATGACTGTCTAGTTGCATGCGCGCTTGTACTAAACTAGGTCTTTGATTGACAGGTCTACTTTTCACGGTAAACGCACAACAAAAGAGCTGCTTTAATTTTAAGCACATGTCACTTAAACAAAATAATTAAAAATCCCTTGAGTGTAAGGGGTTAATATTATAAATGGACAGATGTATGATTGTTTGGAAAAAAGTCAGTCCATCGTTTTATGACCGTTTATTAGTTTAGCCTGGTTGTTTTAGGTTATCCTCAGACTGACGAAAAACGAGTTCCCCTCATGTCTAAAAATACATAGGCTACCGTAAAAAATAACTAATTGAAAATATTTAATGCGAGAACATAAAACAGTCAGTTAATAATTACTAAAGTCAACAGTTAGAAAATAACTGTTAATCCTCCGCCGCCAATCTCTGTCATCCGTATCGTAAACATTTCTCAGAAAACTCGACGTTTTCTAACAAAATTATATTTTTCAATAAAAAAATAAGTACATAAAACAAAATAAACACTTACTAGCCTGAAAACGGTGTGTTTGAAAAGGATAAACATACTCACAGAGTCCGTTGCTGTAGACTTTAGCTGTATGGCCGTAGTGTAGACGATGCTGAGATCACTCACGCGCATGCTGCCTGTCATTGACTTACAGGCATCAATTCCGTGGGCACATCACGGATTTTTTGGCAAATCCGTGACACTGCAACGGATTTTGAGTTAAGAGTCCGTGTTCATTTCACGGAATTCTGTGAGATCAGGTTGCTTGGATGTTTAAGCATCTGCCTCCCTAGGTCAGACCATTCTGGATTAGTTCTCCCAATTCCTGAATAATGTCATCAACAAAGTTTAGTGTTTTGGGTTTGGATGCAGCAATGGATATGCAGAGGGGGAAATGCATTCGGGTGACAAGTTTATGGAACAAAGAACTGGCCAGAGGGATAGGTTCGTGCTTTTGAACAATGGTAGCCCATCAATGTTCATCGAAAGGTCAAGTGACTGCAGATGCTCTGTCACAGATGCAGGATATCTGCTCAGATGCTTTGACAGTTGATCTGCCACATTAAACTTAACACTCTCGACACCATCTTTGTTAGAAAGTTCATAGTGGTTTTCGTTTCCAAAGAGTGTCCTTGCTGTTTGGGGGAGTTCTTCATGTCCATGTTTTTTAAGTATGCTTAAGATAGCATCCAAAGCATTATGTTTAATTTGAAATGCACATGCCCATTCAGATAGTTGTTCTCTGAGAGGCATGGTTATACTGTCTTGTTCACTCTCAGAACTTGACAGGGTTGGATCTGAAAAAACATGATTTTCCTCCTCAAAGAGCTGGTTGTGACTAAAACTTTCAGTATCAGGAACGCTGGCCATCTCATCTGAACTGACAGTTTGTTTGTTGGCTGCCTTCTTTTGTGCCCTCGACACTCTTGTCCAAATTCTTTTGTACTGCCTCCTACGCTCTTTGGATGTCATCAAGCTACTGTACTGGTGTCTCTGCCAATGATCCGATAAATTATGTTTTTCAGTAAACTTGTAGATTTAATCTATTTATTCTCCCCTCAAACTACCAGTATCAACCAAACTTGATTTGATTCTGAACTTACCTTTTTGGATGACATAGTTGCAAGAAGTATACTGGCTGAGAAAATGAAAATAAGTATAAATTACACACACACACACACACACACACACACAAATATACATGCATATATATATAACAACTTTTTTTGTGGCAAAGCATATTTAAACTAAAGCCTTAACGTTTAAGTAAACAATTACTTTTTTAAGTAAACAATTTGTAAATTGTCCCTAATTAGATTTTTTGTTGTTGTTTAAATATATAATTTAAATATAAATTGAATTAATTTAAGTTTTCATGTAATGTAAAGGTTTAAGACTCATTCAAGTCATACAGATTTCAACAATTTCCCTTCAGTACAGTAGGGGGCAGTATATGCAACTCAAACGCTTGCAGCGAAGAGCTTCCGTTGCTGGTGTATAAGTCCCGCCTCACGAACGTGCGCGGATTGTGTTTGAATTTTCACTTTTCACTTTTCGTATCCTTTGACTATCTTCTAGTGTTTTATTTTACACACTTTCCAATCTTTTCAGTTTTTAGTTACTTAACGTTACAGCAGTACTTTAACATATCAATCGAAGAAAGAAGAAATACATTGCTTCACGACGAAACACAGGTAAGTGTAAAAACAACCCGCCGTAAGGGTCCCACACGTTCTCTGAAGTATTATTAACCAGGATCTCTATTTCAAATGTAGTTTTTAAATGGCTTTTTAACTAGTTAGGTTTAATTGTTGAGTAGACAGTGTTGCGTCTGTAAACTTTTCTGTTTATAGAACTTGACAATCACCTAACTTTGTTTTGAACATCTTTTCAAAGACATCAATTGGCTACCATGTCTTTACACAAGTAAAATATATTTATATAACGTTAGCACTTTTCACAATTTAGCATAGATTGTATCAAAGCAGTTTCACAGTATCAATCAAAACAACATAACAATGGTTCTTTCTTAGTGGAAAAACAACATATGGTCTCAAGCGGATTTTGCTTTTGCTTATTTTATTTCCAAACCATACTTCTTCTTTTTTTTTTTTTACAATATTAGGGCCAGTGCTTGAAGTTGGAGAAATAAGGTGCCGGTACTCTCTTGCATTGGCAAATCATGACATTTAAAATATATACAGTGAAGAATAAAACTTGGAAATATTGCTGGTACAACAAGAATTTATTGTTATTTATGAACTACATACATTAATTTTAACAAGTAGTGTGTGTGCGTGCATTTCTTTACAAAGAAATCATCTTTTAAGAAGTTGGTCATTTCATAAACTTGATTCTTGAAGTTAGTTAAGATTGGAGGTATACAACAATGGCATGTAAATGGTAAACAAAACAACGAAGAAAACCGCTCTGATATTGCCTTTTCAGTCATACTTCGATTTGTTTACAGCAAACATAAAAAAAAGTACACTCAGGATTGATTTGGGCATGTACCTGTCTGTGTAGGCTATTACATTAACTAAAATAACTTGTATTCTGACTAGTTCGCTCATTTTATTTATGTATAAAACATATAGTGTTACCCAAACTGAATAATTAAGACAAGTTTAAATGGCTAAATTTTTGTATAAATATTTTTGAGTCGTCGTTTTCTTTTCTGATGTAGCCTATTCTAGTTCTTGTTAAAACACACTAATTGCAAATTCTGTGCACTTTGGGCACTTTTGTGTCAAATCCTATTTATTTTCTCCTTCAACAGTGTGCTTTCACTTTAAATGAGCGTAGCACAACACAAATGGACTCGGCTCGAACCCCCAGTTCACTGCCGCTCACGCGCCACTCCTCCGCGCCCGCGCTGTGTGAAAATGCACTCACTGATTAACATGCAAACCAAAAAAAATACCCACTGATCACGCTTCACAAAATACGTGGTGGACACGATCAGCTTCGGTAGCCTATCGTAGCCGCAACGCGCCGCAGATGTGCAGTGTAAATAAGGTGTTAAACAGCCGTCACACTTTTTCTGTCAGTGGTAGAGTACCGGCTACATGCAAGAAGTAGTGGTACGCAAGAAACAGTGCAGGTACGCATAAGAGAAAAATGTAGAAGTGCTGGTACTGCGTACCGGTGAGTACCGCCCCACTTCGAGCACTGATTAGGGCATTGTAGTTACATGGAGTTTTAGGTTATCTGGTTAAACTGGTGTCATAAAATTTGATTGTATTTTAGGATGAAGCCAAGTCGGAGAATCTATTTACAGTCCTGGAGAGCTACCAGACGCACTCTCCAAAACCTCCATGCAAGCCAGGCAGAAAATGCACGTGCAAGCCAGACAGAGAATCTCACTCACCAAAACCCTGAGAGCCTCAATAGAGACACATTCATGGCATGTGATGAGAGAGATGGAGATGGAGAACAAACGGTATTTTATCAAATCATTGGCTATCGACTATTTTCTGGGGGTGTACTGTACTTTGTAAAATACAGTGCTCATTAAATATTTTTCATGAATTTCAGGATGACTATTGTTACTGGCCTGCATGCAATCCGACAGCCAGAGCACGAAGGGGGGAACAACCTGATCCTGATACTTGGATTTCAAGGAAAGTCAAGGTGTTTAGTGGTGTTACAGGTACAGTTGTATTAATTTCTTGTCCTGTTTTTGCTGTGCATGCTCAAGTAATTTTTTGAAAGCTGTTAAAAAAGCAAAATACATTGCATAATGTAGAATACTTGTAAATGTTTAAACTAATCCTATATTGTTTGTACTTTCCTAATGTTAACATTTCTTTGTAGCTGACTTCAACCAGGCACTGCGGTGGTTGAAAAAGGCAGAAACAATGTCAAGCGTGGAAAGTGCAGATGATGGGGCTGTGCTCTCAAAAAGGCCAGCAAAATTTGCTTACAGCAGTGATGAGGGTATTTGCATTTCCATGCAGTTATTTATTGCATGCTGTATCCCTGACTGGTTTGTTGTCTGGAGTAAATTGTATGCTTTTTAGATGAAGACTTTGCTGAACAGGTCCTCCAAATTAATAGGAAATCCAGAGGTATGATATTAAATAATTGTTCAATATTTCTTAAGAGTACCATGCTTCACAAGACTCCCCTCTATAAGAAAATCACTAGCATAACATAACATAACATATTTGGAAATCATTAGAGACGGTCCCATAAATGAATGATTAACCAAAGTATCTTGGTAATATGCATCATCTAGGTTTGTTCCATGGACCACGAGAGGTGCCACCTTCACGGAAATCTTCTGCAGGGCCAACACACCCTCCACCTCCCATCTGCATTTTTCCGCAGACAAACACTATAAACAGTAAGTTAACAAGTGTTGCATAAGGTTTGTCAAATTGTGCGGATCTGTATTAAAATATACGTTGCCATTTTTTATTTATTTACACAGACCTTGATGATCCAGTTAGTCCTATTCAGCCTGAGATGTCTGATGGTGTGATTTATATTCTTATTGTTGGTTTAATGACTTTGAAAATTTTGTTTATTTGTAAGTGTTAGTTATCAACATGTTGACACACAAGAAATGTAGCCAGGTGATTTGAACTTTAGTAGTTTTGTTTTATAAAATGCTGAACCTAAGTGTTGAGTTTAATCGCTTGCATTTTCTATTGCAAATGTGCACACAGAAACTGCCAGCTGCTCCTCGAGTGCGTCAGACTCTATCTCCGCCTTAACCCAAACGATTACAGTAATACAAGGTATGTTAATTTTTATTGTGGGTACACTTCTGTCATTGTGGGTACAAGTTGTTCAGTCATGTAACTGCAATGTGTTATCTTTGCACTTTGTACGTTTCTGACCTTCATTTTAATGTCTTTGAAATATTTTGTGTTTCTGAAACAGAGACACTTAAGACAATGTTGACCCGCCAGGATGTGATGTCAAAAAACATCCAGGAGATACTTCTCCGGTTAAACCAGATTGGAGGGGCCAGACCGGGTCCGGAGACCCCAATAGAAATCGATGTGGCCCAGTCTTTGGAAGAACTTGCTGTCTTGGAGGCAAAACTGAAAGACCTTCCGGACTACAAGAAGAGATTGGTGGGTAATGGTTTAAACATAAAGTATCTTTTATATAGAGCTAAATATTTACCGCATTACTGATTTTTAATTTTCTGTATTTCCTCTGTGTAGACACACCATCTCAGTCTGATTGGTGGAGCCAACCCGGGAGAAGTTACAAGGCGTATCATGCGGGCTGTTGCTTCTAGCGGTGTCTGGAAAAACTACAGCCTTCATGGGAAGAAGGGGAAAAAAACATTGCTGCATACAACAGTGTACCAGGTTATCAAACGTGAGTTTAATATTTGGTAATAATTGTGTGGATGTTCCACAGCACAAAAAATTGATTTATGCTTGTCTAAACATTTTCTGCTTTAGAATTGGTTCATGTTTTAAAATATAGCTTGCTGTTTTCAAATCTAAAAGACAATATCAAAATGCCCTTAATATATGAAGAGTTCAGATGCAAAAGCCTCTAAGTGCCATTTGAAATTTTCTTCTAGAATGATCATTTTTATCAAGCTTGTACATTTAAGTTCAGTGATTTCACTTAAATGGCAATGATAATTACCTATTAATTGGTATTTAAGTGAAATTGCTGAACTAAGTTTGATAAAAATCATCATTAAAGAAGAAAATTTCAAATGGCATTTAAAGGCTTTTGCATCTGAACTCTTCATATATTAAATGAGTCCACCACTTGTTTTGTAAAACATTGTAATCACACAAGAAATAAAAAATTTAAAAAAAATGCATTCTACACAACAGGGGCTATCATGCTGAGTCGATCCGGACTACAGGACAAAGCTGTGGAAGAACTCGTCACAAATGTTTTAAAACATACCCCAGCCCACAGTAAACTACAGGTACAAATATACACTTCTTGTGAGCATTTCACTTAAAAGACTGTGGCAATTGACTATTACTTGTAGGGATGGACCAATACCACTTTATGGAATGAGTATAGTATTTCATTTTTGCACTTGCCAATAGTGTGTACAGTGTACCAATACAAAATCTTGACATTGAATCTTGAAGTTCTGTTCACTCAATTTATTTAAATTGTTTGTCTAGGTGCAGTCAGTCCCAGAAGTGGCGGTCCAGCAACAGGACAATAACCAGCAATTGACGTGAAGACCTTTTTAAAGTGTTTTAAATAGTGTGTTAAACTTTTTTTTTTTTTTTTTTTGCTTTAATGTACAGTTGTTCATTTTTTCTCATTTGTTTTTAAAGTGTTTTAAATAGTGACATTTATTTTTTTGCTTTAATGTATAGTTGTTCATTTTTCCCCCAATTTGTTATAGTGTCTATTCAATTATGTTCAATAAAATCTGCAAAAACACTTTTCAGTTTTTTCAATTATTCTACATGTTTATTCTACATTAACAATAGTGAATGTTTAAACATGTTTTTACCAATTGTTTGAGTAAAATGTCACAATTTGAACAGTAAAGCTACTTGAAACAAACAAGTTCTGAACAAGAACCACAATTATAGATGTTGCTGTGGCAGTAGTGGCAGGTAAATGGTTGTCAATAAAACCACTGCAGAATGAATATGTAACGGAGGCCAGCTAGTAGTTGCTGTGCGAGTAAACCTCACTCCCCGATCTCAATAGGCGCTCTAGCGACAGACGCTAGAGGCTGCAGTCTTTAGCCTCCTTGCTAGAGCGTCTGACTCATGCCGGAGACCCGGGTTCGAGGCCCGCTCGGAGCGGGGCGAGTAGGACCCGGGTGTGAGGGGTTACATATATAATGAAAAAGTCATCAAATGACCAATCCGCGACCAATAACACGGTCGCAAAGTGACGTACTGAAGGCGTTGCCACGTTGTCGGTTGGTGACGTCGTAGCGACATCTTTTGGTGTTTCACTTTGACAGTTGTGGCGACGTCATATGCTAACGTAAGTGTGACTAAAAATGACCAGCACGTGACGTCGTCACAACGTAATATTGTTTGCTGGGCTATCTATCTATCTATCTATCTATCTCTTTCTAACTCTATCTATCTATCTATATATCTATCTAACGTTAAACTTAATTTAAACTTTAGACTAATTTAAACTTCAAACTACTTTAAACTTCTTCAAACTTTCTGTTCCAAACTTTCACAAGCCAACTTAAAAACTGTTGTGTTTATATTAGTGACAATGAGCATTAATCAAGATCAGCTAAACGTAGTTGTATGTCCCCTCCTATCTATTATGGAAGATCAAGTTAAGTTTGAGGGCAAACATGAAACAACAGACGCTGACATCGTAGCTGGCCGATTCAGTATTCATATATAGGGCGCACACTGGATTATAAGGCGCATAAGATACTGCAGAGTCAAATGTTTGACTGGGTTTGCGTTATGCATCCACTAGATGTGCTAAACTAAAGGCTAAAGGGAATGTAGCGAGTGCGCGGCGCCGGAGGTGAGGCGTTTATTTAGTAGGCGTGAGCGCGCTGGGGCGGGGACGTAACTTACATTCGCAGCCTGACTCATCATGTGAGTATTCAATGTGCGGCGGCTCGCTGACAGCTACAGCTGGAGACGAGCCGGTTACTGTGAACGGGGAGTGCTTTATGAACATTCGGTGACGCACGAGCAGCGCCGGGAGTGTCTGTTAAGAGTGAGCGCTCATGAGCGGGCACGTGATTTACACACATAACCTGATTTATACGAGGTTGAACTGGCCGTGTGACAAAGCGGACATAAGATGGACATGAGCGCGAGTTCGTGGGTGAATTTAATAACGCGGAGCGATGTTAACGAGCGCCTCCGGTGACTGCTGACTGACTTGTTGCACGCCGGTCTGTTGTTGTGGGGACATTTCCACGCCCCGAAACGTGACACTGAACGAAACGAACTGTAATTGGTTGTTTGACACGTCGGTCAAACGGCCTTATGGGCGGGCCTTGGCCAAAGAAAGCTGCTATGAATTCCAGACCTTCAGCCGTCAGTCTGAAGGTCTGGCTACGCGAGACTAACTTAGCCCTAACGCAACGTAACCATTGGGCTATTATTCTGCAGACACAAGTGCTGAGGATGGCATAGGTCCAGGGAAGCCCGGTGCCCGTTCTGGACCTGTCCCTTAGATGTGGCCAGAAGTTCCTGGACATCACCTTATGGAGGGATGAGGCCTTGTGTGAGCTCTACCTTTGGAGATGAGGTGGAGCATACACACCTCAAGGTGTTTGTCTGGGACTGTGGAAACGGGAAGCTGAATTCCTCTAATTACACCACTGTGACGGTACACAATGCAAAACACATGCTTCTCTAGAACTGGGGATGCACAATATTAAGATTTTTGCAACAATTTCAACAAATTTTGGCCACCATGCGATTATACATCTCTCTTTATTATTTATATTAATTTACAAGTGTTTTGTTTGAGTCAGACCATTAAAGCCACAATATGTATTTTTTCTGCTTTAAAAATAGCAAAAATAACTGTATCTATGTTATATATTTCTATTATATGTGTAATTATATTATCCCGACAGTTTCCACCAACTTTCAAATTCGGAGAAATTTATAGTTTAATTCGAAGACACGGGACGTTTCTTTATTTCCGTTTCGTCGCCCGTCTATGCCGTCATATAACCTTTGACTCCTCTATTTTCTCTAACTTCCTTGCGGAACCAGGCGAAACCGTCAAACACAAAGGGGAACACTGGACTACCGTCAATAAAGCAAAGAAAATGACGAAGAAAAAAAGCAGTACGTATTTTTATGTGTGTAAATCACGTGCCCGCTCACGAGCGCTCACTCTTAACAGACACACTGTCCCCGGTGCTGCTCGCGCATAAAGCGCTCCCCGTTCACAGTAACCGGGTCGTCTCATTCAAAACAGCCAACTGTTGCTGTTAGCGAGATGATGTAAAGATTCCACATTTCACTTTATAGGTCTCTGAGAGGGCAATGAAGACAGTCGAGGTTAGCCTAGAAATCTAGATGCACACTGGCGGCAGCAAAAATTATTTTTGCAGCAAAGTGTGGTCTCAACTCTCCATAGACATTTTAGCTGGAAAACCCCAACTCTGGTAGGGTCAATCACATCGTGTATAGAGTCGGCGGGCGGGCTTAACATAGTGATGACAGAGTTGGGACGATCACAGTAAGCTCGGACATATTTGGTTTTAAGTCGTTCATCCTCGGATGCGGCCGCACCACGCACGCTCTACAAAAAAGCTGTGGCGAAACGATCAAATTGTCATTTTTGCCGCACTCGTGCTGTAGCGTCTAATATAAAGGCTTTGCGCGCTCTGATCGGTAAGGTACTGCGGTCAAGTGGGCCGCGCTTGGAAAATACACGGTCAAGCCAGCCGCACATTTTTTTTATTATGCGCGTCAAATCCTGCACTTACGGTATGGGTGCTGAAAGACGCCCAAATTGATTTTAAGACTCCTTTTCCTGCTATTTTCCATCGTATTAGGACACAAATAATACTATTTCATGATTTTTTCCTAAAACATGACTTTTAATATTGTTTGTTTGTTGTTATTTGTAATGTTTCTAGGCTTAAATATTAATTATACCTATTATAATGTATTCAATTTCATATTATTAAAAATGTATCATACATTTTTATTGTTAATATTTACATTTTTTAGACACTATTTTCTGCTATTTTCCATCTTATTATGAGACAAATAATAAAGTTTTTTTTTTAAAAAAAACATGACTTTTTCGGGGTTTTTTTTATGTTTGCAGGCCTATATATGATTTACATTAATTTCAATTTTATTTTTTAAAGATTTAATTTATTCATGCTCGTGTTAATGTTAATTATCACACATCATTACTTTTTTTACATTTAATTGTTAATTTGAATGTTTATATATTTATATATATATATATATGTTTATATATATATATATATATATATATATATATAATTTGATTTTTTATTATACATTATTATTGCCTACTTTATTAATGTGAATGAAATTGAATATTAATGTTATCAATACATTCATTTAACATTTTTTGTTGTTTTTTAATGTTTGTATAATGTATACACTCGTTATTATTATATGTAATGATGATTATTTATTTATTTACTTATTTAACTTTTTTATGTCAATGTAAATGACAAATATGATACAATCGGATTTTAGTGGCTTTTAATCTTTCACTTATCATTGAATTTCTCATATACATATATACATATATGCGCTCCCATGTTCAAACTATTTACACGTCCCATGTTCAAACACTCATAAAAAATGTTCCTTCATAGGTTTGCTCATTTTCTCAACTGATTCCTGTTCAGAGGGAACCTGGCTATTACTGCATGTATTATCAAGTCATTTTACTGTATAGTTTTGGAGAAAAGTACAGGCAAACTCACCCCAATGATCAAAGTGTGTTTTACCACTTGAACCACATCCCATTTTCAAACACTCATTAAAAGTGTTCCTTCATAGGTTTGCTCATTTTCTCAACTGATTCCTGTTCAGAGGGACGCTGGCTATTACTGTATGTATTATCAAGTCATTTTACTGTATAAATTTCGAGAAAAGTACAGACAAACTCACCCCAATCATCCAAGTGTGTTCTACCACTTGAACCACATCCCATTTTCAAACACTCATTAAAAGTGTTCCTTCATAGGTTTGCTCATTTTCTCAACTGATTCCTGTTCAGAGGGACCCTGGCTATTACTGTATGTATTATCAAGTCATTTTACTGTATAAATTTCGAGAAAAGTACAGACAAACTCACCCCAATCATCCAAGTGTGTTCTACCACTTGAACCACATCCCATTTTCAAACACTCATTAAAAGTGTTCCTTCATAGGTTTGCTCATTTTCTCAACTGATTCCTGTTCAGAGGGACCCTGGCTATTACTGTATGTATTATCAAGTCATTTTACTGTATAAATTTCGAGAAAAGTACAGACAAACTCACCCCAATCATCAAAGTGCGTTCTACCACTTGAACCACATCCCATTTTCAAACACTCATTAAAAGTGTTGCTTCATAGGTTTGCTCATTTTCTCAACTGATTCCTTTTCAGAGGGACCCTGGCTATTACTGTATGTGTTATCAAGTCATTTTACTGTATAGTTTTGTAGAAAAGTACAGGCAAACTTACCCCAATCATCAAAGTGCGTTCTACCACTTGAACCACATCCCATTTTCAAACACTCATTAAAAGTGTTCCTTCATAGGTTTGCTCATTTTCTCAACTGATTCCTGTTCAGAGGGACCCTGGCTATCAATGTATGTATTATCAAGTCATTTTACTGTATAAATTTCGAGAAAAGTACAGACAAACTCACCCCAATCATCCAATTGTGTTCTAC